GCATATATTTTTGTGCTAACAGCATGTACAGATGTGGTCACCGTACCAACAGGTATCTTTTGTCATTTCTAACCAATTTTTGAATGAGGCTCAAAAGGATCAGGTTCTTTGCTTCTGGCTGCTGAGTGATGCCGACAATCTCTCCCTGTGGATGGATGTTAAGATGAATGCTGTCAAATGAAAACAAATACATACATGTGATGTGCTTATTTATGTATTATTTTGCTATTTGCTTTATGTTTTATTTCTTAATATGTATAGCTGTATTGCTTTGTTATTCATGGCATTGTAGGCTGATTATAAGTAGATTATCACTTCTGCATATCACAGGACTAAAGACCATAATGATATTGTAAAATGGAGGACACTAGCTATACAAACAAAAAGACTGCATTTCATCTTTATTAAACTTTTTTTTTTTTTTTTAAAGGATTGTGCTATTTAAACTTTTAGTAAATAGCAAAATTTACTGCATCAATCAGCTTAGGACAAGCATTCATTTAGAACTGGATCTTTTACAACGATGTTTACATAAAGATAAGTGGTACAATGCCAAATATATTTAAATGTTTTTATTGAGTCTACAGAGATTTCATTGAATTCCAGTCAACTTTTCTCATTATGTTAAATTTGGAGGGAGTTATTAGAAACATAAGTCTAAGTTATTTTTTCTACTGTGTCACTGAATGGCATCTTCATAGGTTGGATTTTAAAAAAATCCCAAACACACTAGATAAATTTCCATAACAGTGTCACTAATGGAAAGATATTTTTTGAGTACTGAGATTATCAGTCAACATTTCAGTTACAAAATATGGGGAAAAATGTTTATCTAGCCTGATATAGAATCATTTTTATTTATACAAAAAGATATAATTTCCATACATATGCCTCAGGCTGAAATAACAGCTTTTACTTATGTTTCAGAATCCTGAAGCTTCCTACTGACTCAATGGAAATGTTAGACATTTGTATTCCTTGGGGCTTTCGGCGTATGTGAATACAAGCTAAGTTGGAATAAAAAATAAACTGTACCAGACTTAAATGAAATATATACTAATTTGCTTTAACAGATACTGAGGGGAACATATTGAAAAATAAATGAAATACAGCATATTTGGATTTTAGACATGTACAATATGATTTTAATTGCTGTCTAGAAATGCTTTTGCGTGTTTGTGAAGGTGACATACTGTAGAAAAATGGCCACTGAAGATGTGCAGAAAAAAATGGCAGTATTTTACAAAGTAGTTTCAAATAGACTGTTTAAGCTATTTAAGTAGACTGATTAAGTAGTTCAACTAGTCTCTTAGACCTAAGCAGGTCTACGTTATTTAAACTAGCAGAGTATTTTGAAGCATTATGGGTGGTTAGCCCTTAGAAGAATAGTCAGGAATAGTCAGCATGGATTCACCAAGGGGAAAATAATGCTCGACCGATTTGATAGCCTTCTATGATGAGATGACTAGCTGGGTAGATGAGGCGAGAGCGGTCGATGTGGTCTACCTTGACTTCAGCAAGGCTTTTGATGCTATCTGCCATAACATCCTCATAGACAAGCTCAGGAAGTGCGACCTAGGTGAATGGGCAGTGAGGTGGATTGGCAGTTGGCTTGACAACAGGGCTGAGAGAGTTGCACTTAGCGGCGCAGAGCCTAGTTGAGGCCTGTAGCTAGTGGTGTCCCCCGGTGGTCAGTACTGGGTCCAGTCTTGTTCAACTTTTTCATCAACAACCTGGAAGATGGAACAGAGTGCAAACAGAGACACAAAGCTCGGAGGGGTGGCTGACACCCCAGAGGGCTGTGCTGCCATTCAGAGGGACCTCAACAGGCTGCAGGGTTGGGCCAGGAGGAATCTCATGAAGCTCAACAAGGACAAGTGCAGGGTCCTGCACCTAGGGAGGAATAACCCCAAGCACCAGCACAGGCTGGGGGGAGTCCTGCTGGAGAGCAGCTCCGCAGAGAGAGACCTGGGAGTCCTGGAGGACAGCAGGCTGACCATGAGTCAGCAGTGTGCCCTTGTGGCCAAGGAGGCCAAAGGTACCCTGGGCGCATTCAGAAGAGTGTTGGCAGCAGGTCAAGGGAGGTGATCCTGCCCCGCTGCTCAGCTCTGGTGAAGCCACACTTGGAGTATTGTGTCCAGTTCTGGGCCCCTGTAGTGGGTTTACGTGGCAAGGTTTTGGTAGCAGGGGGCCATAGGGGTGGTTTCTGTGAGAAAGATCTAGAAGCTGCCCCATGTTTGGGAAGGGCCCCATTGTTTTCCAGATCTGAGCCAATAGCGATGTTGTTTTGCGCCGCTGTGAGAGCATATTTAAGACAGGGAAAAAAAACACTGTGCCTCACAGCAGCCGGGAGAGTCAAGGGAGTGAGAAAACAGCCTTGCAGGTGCCAAGGTCAGTGTAGAAGGAGGGGGAGAGGTGCTCCAGGCACAGGAGCAGAAGTCCCCTGCGGCCTGTGGTGAGGACCATGGTGAAGCAGGCTGTGCCCCTGCAGCCCATGGAGTACCACGGTGGAGCAGGGTCCCACGCTGCAGCCTGTGGAGGAGACCACGGTGGAGCAGGTGGCCCTGCAGCGATGGAGGCTGCCGCCTGTGGAAGACCCCTGCCGGAGCAGATTCTGGGCCAGACCTGTAGCCCGTGGAGAGGAGCCCACGCAGGAGCAGGTGACCTGGCAGGAGCTGCTGCCCGTGGGGGAGCCAGGTTGGAGCAGTTTTCTCCTGAGGGATGGACCCCGTGGTACGGACCCATATCTGGAGCAGTTCTGGAAGAGCTGCTGCCTGTGGGAAGCCCTCGCCGGATCAGTTCATCAAGGACTGTATCCCGTGGGTGGGACCCCACAGCACAGGGGACGAGAGTGACCGAGAAGGAGCGGCAGAGAAGAAGCGCTGTAGACTGACCATAACCCCCATTTCCCCATTCCCCTGTGCCGCTCGGGGGGAGGAGGTGGAAGAGGGTGGATGGGGGGGGAAGGTGCTTTTGGTTTCTTTCCTTTGTTCCTCACTTCTCTAGCTTGTTAGTAATGAGCAATAAATCTTACTATCTTCTTATGCTGAGTCTGTTTTGCCCGTTACAATAATTATTGCATGATTTTCTCGTCCTTATCTCAACCCTTGAGCACTTTTCACATATTTTCTCCCCATTCCTCTTTGAGGAGGGGGAGTGAGAGAGCAGCTGTGGTGGAGCTCGGCTGCCCACTCGAGCGGAACCACGACAGCTCCCCAGTACGAGAGGGAGACTCCACAACCTTGGGACAGGTTGTGGAGCCTCCTTCTCTCGAGATACTCAAAACCCGCTGGGATGCCATCCTGTGCAATATGCTCTAGGTGGTCCTGCTTGCCAGGGGGGTTGGACTAGATTATCTTCAGAGGTCTCTTCCAACCTTGGCCATTCTGTGATTGTGTGATCCTGTAATGCTTCCCTTTTTTAAGTTATTATTCAAAAAAAGCTACGAATTTTGTGGAAAAACTGTGTCTTATGATTGAGGCTATATAGGCATTATGGCAATTTGTTAAATGTCTAAACAGCAGAACTCTCAACTCTGCTCTAAAATATCCCTAGGCTGTTTTCTTTTTTTCTTTTTTCTTTCTTTTTTTTTTTTTTCTTTAATATATTTATAGTTTTCTTTTAGAATTTGACTTCATAATAATTTTCAGATAAAAAAAGCATGAGCTGTAGATAAAAAGGTGGTTGTACCACCACTTCTATGTCAGTACACGAAGCTTATGTGCTTCCCTTGTGTTGGTACAAGTGCTCCTAGTCTTCTGCTCTACTGGGCAGAAGTGTGATGACAGGAAACAATTTGTTCCTTGATCTGTTTTACTATGACCATTTGGATGCCGGCCCCAGAGCTACACCTCTGAAGCTTCACAATCATTTTATGAGCTTATATTGAACGTATTTGTGTTGAAGAAATACCTGCCACTGAGAAATACCCTGCCTGAGAAAAGAAGAATATAACTGAGAAGTGGGGAACATACAAAGGCCTCAGTGAGCCTGTAATATAATTTCTCTTATATTTGGGGAAGTAAATGGAGAAGTTGGAGGGAATTTTGGTGCGAACAGTAAAGTTGTTCTGTTGAACAAAGTAGAGAGAAGTCAAATCTGTGCTAACACTGTTGAAGTTTACATTAATACTCAGAAACTGAGAAGGACCATAAGATAGGATGACTGTGTGGTTAAAGCAAGGACGCCTGACTTGGGAAAGCTGAGCTCATTTCCTGGCTTTGCTATCTCTTTAGCTTTGTGCAAGAGATTTAATCTCTCTCCACTTTTTTTTTTTTTTTCTCCTTCCTGTACCACAAGGGAGTAATTATAGTTCAAATTGTTCTAAGAATAAATGCATTAATGTGACTGGTACGTTGAACTACAGGCAAACAGTTTCAGTTGCTGTTCCTTATTTTAAAGGAAGGCCTTTGTGCTCCTACGAATGTGTAGAAGTTTCGCAGCCTGTGCCTAGAAAGGTGAGCAGGCACTCGGGGCACCACCACGCACAGCCTAGGCAGCGCACCCAGCCAGGAGGCTGCAAGCGATGCTTATTGCAGGGCTCTCAGTTCTCCTCCCCAGCACGGCTTTCTGAGGGGCCTGATGCAGCAGGCAGGGGAGAACGGAGCAGTAACTCCAGGTTTCAGTCCGAGCTGAAGCGGAGCGCCTGACGCCGAGCCCAAGCAATGCGGGTGCGCAGCAGGCGGGCGGGGGGAGCCCCGCGCCCTTCCCTCAGGCGCCTCAGCGGCTAACGGCCCACAGCCGGGGCCCAACGGCCAGCCCCGCACCACCCGCCCGCGCTGACGTCAGGCTGAGGCGAGGGGCGCGGCGGGGAGGCCCCGAGCATGCGCAGAGGGGCCGCGTGCCCCGCCCCGCCCCGTCCCTCCCCTCCGTGCCGGGCGGGCGGGGCGGGGCGGGCGGTACCTGGGGGCGCCGCGCTGAGGCGCTGAGGCACGGAGGGGAGGGGAGGGCGGCTCGGGTCCGGCACGGCCCGGCGGTGAGTAGGGGGCGGCCACCGCCCCTCCGCGGCCCGGCCGGGGGTGGGTGCTGTGGGCGGTGGGGAGCCCTCGGCAGCCCCGAGGCAGGCAGGGAGGGAGCTGAGGTGTCGGGGCCGGGGGCCGGGGCGCGCTTCCCCCGCAGCTCCGAGCCCTGAGGCGCGGCCATGAGGCAGCGGCGGCTCGGCCCGGCAGCTACGGGGAGCGGCGGCCGAGGGGAGCGCTAGCGGCGGGCCTGGCGGCGCGGCCAGGTAAGGGGCGGGCCGCTGCGGGGCCGCTGCGGGGCGCGGGGCTCTGCCGCCGGCAGGGGGGTGGCGGCTGCGCGGCCCCCGCCCCGCGCTGCTGCCCGCTGGTAGCGGGGTGCCGGCAGGGAAGGGGCGGCCCAGCGCCGGGGTGCTCCTCCGGCCGGGAGCCGCTCGGAAATGCGTTCTCCGGAGCGGTTTTAGGGGTAAAATGCTTTGTCACGGCAGCGTGAGGCTGTGCTTGGGGATGCCGAATGGAATTGGCAGGCAGTGTCCCAAGGCTGCAGTGGATCGCTTCGTGCTGGGTTTTACCCGTTTTGAATGAAATACCCGCACGCTGAGGAGGCGAGCACCAAACGTTAACCTAGGAGCTGCGTGAACGTACAGCTCCCTGTAGTCAAGATGTCTTTAAAACAGAAATGAAATCCTTGCTCGCAGTTGACACCTTTCATCATAGCAGTCCTGGTGTTTGGGCGCCAAAACCTGCTGAGTGCGGTCTGCTGACAGCAGGGCTGTAGGAATGCTTCACGTTTAGAAGATGCCTACGTTGTTCTTTATTGCTCGTGGCACCTTGTGTTTCTGAATTTAGGCAATTAATAATGCATATGGATATGTGAAAATATGAATAGTAATGATCTCCATGAACATAATGTTCTCATTTAGTATAGTGTTATACTAATGAGTAATCCTGTTTAATGGAACTGCTCATGTAAAAGCTTGCGAGAGTAAAACCTATTACTTTTGGACCTGATCATCCCTTAAGATGGATTGGTCATTTGGAATAAACCCGTTACGTAGAAGAGTTGGCACAGGCTCTCTATCTGGAGAGCCATCAGGCCTTCAGTCTTCAAATGAGCATCGCTTGCCTGAAGTTGTTGGCAGAATGCAGGTCTGTGAAAATGGAGACAGGGTAAAAGGTACCAGTTATGGCAGTGGTTGTGGCATTGTTTTTTTGCCACTGTTTGGAAATATAAACAGCAGTGCCCTCTTCCTAATTAGAAGCTTTCAAGCCCAGTTAAATTCCTTGCCAATAGGGATGCTAAGAAGATCAAAATACTAATGGTGCTTTTGATAATTAGGTTTAAAATCCTGTATTGTGTTTCATTTGAAGCAATAAAAAAGCTTATGTAAATCTTCGTATACCTGAATACATGGATATTAGAATAAAGTCAAGGCAGTGTTATAATAACTATTCCAAAGATGCTTAGCTAGGCAGCGTGGGTCTTTGTATTTCTTCCTATCTCTGGGACACATACTGAAACTCACTTCTAAACTTCAATCAAATTAGATGCATTTTTGAAGGCATTCTGAGTATATTGTATCCTCCTTAGTCCAAAGTTACTTGATTTCTAGAGCTGCAGAGATCTGGGTTTCACTTGCTAGCTATCTATCCCCTCTATCCTAGAGGGGAGGGTTCAGCTGGAACGGTTCTGTTGATTGTCTCCTCTAGTAAGTGAAGCAAGAAAGCCTCCTTGGGTTGGGGGATGCTTAACCCTGGTCACATGGGGAATTGGTGTCACGAGTTGTCAGTGAAATGCCTTTCCCACTGAAAAGATCACTGGGATTTTCGTGAGCACTTAGCCTGTGAGGACTCAAGGTAGTGTTCTGTGGAGCGCGTTGTAATGGCTCTGATTGAAGCAGAAGTATGGCTAATGTTGGCAAGGTTCAGCCTGCACAAAATGTCTTAGTCTCTTAGCCAGAGGAAAATAGCTGATAAAGGTTTACTTTTATGTGGTGGATGAGCAAGTTTTTGGTCTGGAATAACCCTTAAATTGTAAGTGATTTCTGAAATGCATAGGAACTCCTGTGTTTTTAGTCTCATTAGCCTAGGTGGCTTGTGACACACAGCACAAGTTCAGTTCATGGGAGGATGTCCTGAACACCCTGCATTCTCTTGACTTAAATATTGTGTATGCTTTGAGCTGGAGACTCAGGCTCTACATCGATGCAGAAATTCTCCTGAGAATCTGAATCAGTATGATACACAGTTTATTTTTGTGAATCATATTGAAGATAGAAAATCAGGTCTAAGTAAAACCTCATCTTCTATCATATTATTACATAGGCATGTGAATCTGTATCTTTGGTGATTTGGAGGAAGCTATGACTTTCAACTGACCTGCATCTTGGCAAGGCAAGCTTGCATAGGTTTAAGCTTCGCAAGGCCAAAGCTATAGCTGTTAGTAGCAGGAGACTTAAGGAAAGTAGCAGAAGCTTGCATCCTGCACAGCTTGTCCATCAGACAACAGCTCATATAAAAAGCAAACCCAAACCAAACAACAACGAAACAGAATGCCCCAATCTGTGTAAATCTTTTTGTTGTGGAAGTGCTCTGAAATGGTAATGTATAAAAATAACACTTTACCATGAATAAATTTGGGATACTGAGTAAACAAAACAAATCGTACTCATCACCTTCCTTTAATTACAAACAATATGTGAGCACAGATGACCATGGCTGTGTAATTTAATAAGCTAATGTGGGAGAAACAGGTACTGTGGGCAAACTGTCAGTAGTCATTAATGTTCTACAGGTTAGTTTCTTTCAATTTCTTAGAGAAACAGTTTCACTTGTGAATTATTACATAGTCAGTATCTATGGCTCCAGTGTTTTAAAAGGCTGGCCCTGATGGGTACATGCAAATCTAGCTGTTAATCAGCAAATCAGTAAGAAGATAGAAAATAATTAAGGAAGTTTTGTCAGTCTGTAGTTATAAATATGTTTGTTTGTTATGCTGTGGCAGACTTGCCAAGTTACTTGGTACTACAATATTTTTCCAGAGTTTGGTGTTCTAATAGGGAATTGATCTGTAGTAATTGAATCACAGACAGAAGCTGTAAATGTCCAGCACTAATGAAATGAAATTCCGTAGCAAGAGAGCGGTACATTGAAGCTGTGGTTCAAAAATAAGCAAGCTTCAACTGGAAGCTATTACATGCTTTTATGTGGCTGCAGTGATTTTGGTTAAGGGTGGATGTTGAAGAAAAGTCAAATTTAACTTCAGAGAATACAAGCAACCTAGTATCTTCTTGAAAGCACAGATATGGAACAGATTGATCCATGTAACTGGTTTGTTTGGTAGTTCGGAAGGCAGAAATCAGTAGCCAGTTCTTGTAACATGGGGTGTTTCGAAGTAGTGTTGGACAGGAGTGTGTGTGAGGACTCCTGTATCCCAAAGGACCTGGCAAATGGGGTGAATGATAAGCTGACATGAGCAGCATTCTTCGAAGTGTTGAAAAGATTATATGGTATAAAGACCTGCAGCAAAACCTTTTAGCTTCTGCTGGTTGTTGAAAAGATTATATGGTATAAAGACCTGCAGCAAAACCTTTTAGCTTCTGCTGGTTGTTTGCATATAAAGTGGTGTGTAAAACCAATCATAAATGTTGAGATATATCTGTGGGAGAGAAGAGCAATCCTAGCTTTATGCATAAACAAATGGGCTATGGGCTGGGTTTTGTCACTCTGGGATGAGATTTGTGGGATTATAATACATAGCTAAAAATATAAACTCATTGGTCCATGTCAGAGAAAAAAAATATTCAAGTATCATTATGCCATTCCATAAATTCATTTGTGCCCATACTTGGAGATGGGAACTCTAGGTATTCATGGTTCCTGTTCCAAAACCTATGTGCTAATTCATATATGTTAGAGAAAATGTTTTGAACCCAGAAGAGTAAAAAGATGGTTTGAGGAGGTATGATGTCCTCCTAGGACTTGCAACCTTGGAAAAAAGAACACTTCTCAAAAACACAGAAACGTTAATGGAAGGATAAATATAATGCTGATGGTTTGCAGTATCCTCCTATGGAAGTGACCTGTGTCAGATGAAAATAATCTTTGAAAGAGTTAGCAATATTGCTAAATACTGCTCCTTGCTTAAGGCACTTATGGATAGGAGAATTCGGGGAGCCAAAGACAGACTGGACAGGACAGCGGAGGAGAGACCTGCGGAGGGTTCCAAACCAAACTACATCAAATTCAAGAAATCCTGTGATTTAACAGTATTTATAGGTCTTGCCCTGTGCTGCTTCTTCCTGGTGCATTGGTTGAAGACTAGCACAAGAGACGAGCACTTCTTGTTCATCGCCTTTAAGATAAGATTGTCTGCTTGGACCTGGGTGGCTGAACTAGAGAGCTGAAGCTGAGTCACCATAGTCCAAAACCTGAGAAATATGATTTGTTTAATATTTCAAGGTTATGCAGGGTTTGCTTTGTTTCGTGAGAGAAGTTTAAGATTTGCTCTGTCACTCCACTTTCACATCTCTTTTTAATCCAGCAGTAGCAGATTTAAGAATATAATTTTTTTGTCTGTAGCTGAGGTTTGACATTCTTTTCTTAAGATCATGGTCTTCTGACAAAAAATGAGCCAAGTTAAAATGGCACTGGTGCATATAGAAAGGGAATTCCTCGAGTTTTCTTCCCTCTACCTACCTATCGTCTTGTCTAGTCTCGTTCAGTTGTTACCTGTGAACCTCTGAGGCTTATCTCAGTAGCAGTGTCTAGGAATTGCATGCTGTCTCCTTGAGTTACCTGTACTTGTCCTCCAGCTTAACCTGTAACTAAACTGCTTACTTGGCTGGTAAGCACAGCCAAGCTGCGGATTGAAACTGATGGGAATTCTTGATTTTAAGATACCTAGGTGGATAAAGTGCTTAAATGTGGTTTGTGCCGGTAGCATTGCTTTCGTTATTAGTTATTGTACAGTCAATAAAACAATATATTAAACAATATCTGTTTGTGCAGTCGGAAGGGGTTTTAGCTCAAGGCAATTCAGCGTTCCTGTTTGGAGATGTTGCCTCAGATGAGCAAATGAACTAGAGGAGAAGGATAGACAAGGTGAGAGGACAAAAAGGGCTGTTTCCATTTGTAATCAGTTGTATTCAACGCTTCATTTGGCTTCCAGCCTGCCTAGCCTTATCAGCAAGAAAATCCTGCTCCAGGTAGCATCACTAAATAGTGAACAGAAAACAGTAGCTGGCAGCTGGCTCTTTGGGTTGTTACT